GTTGTGTAATGAACTCGAACCATTGTGTATTTAACTCAAATTTTGCTACAATAGGCTCCGTTCTCAACTATGGGTCATCTGTAAACCGGGCATTCCTAACCTGGGGACTACCTATATTTAGAAGCTTCCAGTGGTTTAGAACACAGAAGCCTACCTTTTAACAGTGGCATCAGCAATCAAAACCTGTAACCCTTTCCCATAGAGTTTAGGACTTCCTAAGTTACATTATCAAGTGCTACCTTAGAACATGCCTTACCAACAGGCTGAAAGCAACTTGCAACCAGGTCTTCCAGTGAATTTTCATTACTAATCATACCAAAGTAATTCTTTTTGTCTTCTATAATTCAAGATACTAATAATTATTTTCCCAAGAACTCAGGTCCCAGCATACTGAATCACCACATTACTTCTCTGCCTCATCCCCACTGTAGCATCTTGAGTTTGATGAACAATAGAGGTGGCCTATGTATAAATCACCTGGTAGGGTTGATGCTAGGGTATTAGGTAGATCACACAAATATGAGTTAATCTGGGGTTTCCAAGACAGAAATTTAGGTACATTTCTGATTATTCCATTGAGTCATTAGATTTCTGTTTTACAATATAAATGAGCAAAACTGAAACAACACTTTCATTTGGCCTAATCTACAAGCATTAAAACACATACAGTTCAGACAACTCAATCACTGCCTCTTCATTCTGACCAATCCATACAATGCATAATTATCTGAAACGATATCCAATCACATCACCTGGCTTATCTATGGATGCATTTGTAAATAGAACTTGAATGTTATCTTCCAGTATGATAAAATAATGCAAATTCAATTTCTAAACTAAGGTTCAAAATACAAAGCCACCTTATCAAGCCTACCAATTTAGAATTTTAAACGATGCTATGCATGTTGCCTTTACAACTTGAAAGAAAGTAAGGTATACAGTACATCTAATAAATTCATAAAAAATGTTTAAGAATATCTTCCTGCACACAAATTTATTTGAAATTAATTCTACAAAGTTTTCGAATATTTATGCTTTGCTTAAACGGAAATCAAGGAAAGCTATGGTAGAGCTATTCAGATTATCAATTTGAAATTTAGAAAATGTGCATGCAACTATAAAAAAATCATACTCTACACGGGAGTGCATGGAACCTTTACTAATTCCTGAAATATGTGCTAGTATTTATTTTGCACCTCAGGCTGGGCTACTAACTCAGCTTCTACTATCTTTTAACGTTTTAACATTTACACCGCCCAGAGCCCACCGGAGTTGGGCAGCCAATGAATTTAAGTAAGTAATAGTAATAGCATAGCAGAAAACCCACCTCGAAGTCCCCAACTTAACCTACTTCCTAAAGAAGCATCAAGTCCCGCACAGCATAGCATGCCACCTTCACATCCAGGCAAAGCATCCTAAAACCAACCGTTTCTTCCTTCAGGTTCTGGACTGTTATCTAACACATTCTGCCTTTCCAAACACATATTTTGACACTTGCATTTTAGCTGAAAATCCTATTCTATTACAACAGGGTATTATGGGAGATACTTTTTCTCCTGAAGATCTCATAGTAGGGAATCTGCAAATTAATTGTTGAGAGTTAAAATTAGACAGTCTGGAGGAACACCTGATGCAAAAATTTGCCCTGTCCTGAGACAGGTATAAATATCTCACGTCATCCTTTCCTAATTTCCAGCTCCTTAACCTTGAGTTGGTTGGTCTGTCCCCTCTCTACAATTTCAACCGTCAGAATTTCCCCAGCACACTTGCAATATCTGTACAGACCTCCAAGTGCTATCCCTCACCTCTCCCCCAAGTGTCATCCACCTAAAGTCCACATCCACGATCAAAAAATCCCAAAGCTTGGAACTGAAAAAGGAACGAGGGCGAATTTATTCTTCATAACGGACTCTTAATCCCAAATTTCCCTGGTCCACCGACACCGTGCATGGCAGCAGGAAAAGCAGGGTGTGGGTGGGGGGCGCGCTAAGGTGCCAAGTCCTTTTAAAAACATGTCACATGCTCAGATAAAGTTCAGGATGAGGTTCCTCCTCTCCTTCTCCTCGATTGGTCGACGAGAGGAGCGGAGCCACGATATCGGAGTCCGTAGCGAACCTCCATTGGACAAGCCCTTTTGTCAGTCACCCGGCAGGCGACATGACTGATACAAAGTTGCTGCGACACAAGCTAGAAAATGTATCTCTTCTTAAAGCTGTAGAGCTCAGGTAGCTGAGCGGCTAGCCTCGCTTCCACGGGGGAAGCTGTAAATTCCCTCCCCTCCCTCTTATCAATGCCGGGAAAAGTGAGATTTGGGAATGAATCTTTGAAACGTTCGCCGACGTATACAACTAACAACTTTCATAATAACTACTACTACAACAGAGGGATACAGGCAACCTCGGAAAGGGAAACCCGCTCAGTCCGGCCTCTGAACGAGAGTTAGAATTAGATCCCACGCCCTCAAGCTGCGAGTCCTTCCTGAATTGCATCCCTCCAACCGCCCCCCCCTTTTAAAAAGCACGCTGAGATCTGAATCGGGGGGGGCTGGCTTCCTAAGTCGCCTTTGCCCGCCCCTAAAAGACTGCCAGACACGATCTCCACCTGTATCAAGGTAAGCGCTTGGGGAACCCCCTCCCATCTGCCCTTAGCCCCACTGGCGAAAGCAAGGGCAGTCAAGCTTCTTGTCATGCAGAGAAAAATTGCCACGTTTAAACAAGGTAGGAAATAATCCATCTTGTCAGCGCAATAAGCAGCCTCTTGGCCCCCCCTCCCCAAAAAAAGCAAACAGAAACCTATTAAGAGGCTCAAGGACTCGCCCTCTGGTTCTCAGATTGGATTTTATTGCGTCTAGTAGATTCTTTGCCAACCGCTTCTTGGGATTTTTTTTTTTTTTAAGTTGCACGGACTGATAAGCAAGGGCCATAAAATTGACTCCCAAACTCCAGCCCTTTAGCAGGTCTGGGAAACATTTCATCACACGCTCCATCTTTGTGGCCGGAGTTTCTAAATATATTTTAGGAAGGCAATGACATTCTCTCCCTCCTTTTATTGGACGTGCAAAAATGCCGCATGTTTTCGGGCTTCATGGAAAACTATCTCAACTCCACACACCCCAAATTTTCGACACCACCCAAACGGCAGCGGTGTTAACATTCCCCCTCCTTCCGCCAGAAGACAGCTCTTTCCCCCTCCCCTCCGTTTGCGTACACACCCTTCTCAATCCCGTTTCTCTCGATATAACATCCAGCTCCCCCCAAAAAAAATATCCTAAAGAAATAAAGTTTAATGAAATTTGAAGCAAGCCAAGCTGCAGAAGTCCACCAATGGCACGCGAGACAGAAATCACTCCAAAAGAACACTTTCCAAAGGCAAAATGCGCTCAGTGAATTTAAAAAAAAACCCTAAACCTTCCCCCCCCCCAGGCTGTTTTGTTGCAAAAGGGGGGGTCCAGCTACTCAAAAATATAGATTGACTATTAGAGATGTCACGCGTCCTTGATGTTTTTAGCCTTCTGATACCTATTGATTCGCGTTTTTGGAGCTAAAATCAGCTGAAGAACTAGCTACTTTAGTTCCCGTGCCCCCAAAGGCCGAAATGCTCCTGCGATGCCTCTCTCTCTTTCTCTATTCCCCCTCCCCGCCCGCTAAGTTTTAAATTGGATATACAGAGGGCTGGCAATGACCTGGAACTGCCTCTTCTGCATATTTTGGCTCAGAGGGGTACTTCATATGACTAATGCCACCTACTAATCCTTCTTTTATTCTCCATGGAATACATTTTAATTCCTCTCCAGGAAAACGCTCCCCCGGTCATTCTCTCTCTTCACCTGTCTGCCGTGGGACTCCGGTCAAAAGGGTGGTGCGGCGTTTGGGGTTTTTCCTGGACTCACCTTCATTTTTATACCTCCGTTTCGACGTGCAATGGCCAGAGGAGCAAGTCCCTCCGGGTCCGCTCCAGAAAGCGGCCGATTAGGAAAGAGTAGCAACGAAGGTGGATCCGGAGGAAATCTGGGGTTAAATCCTGAAGGAAACGGACAAGCCCGGGAAGGAGCTTGCAGCGGACTCCCGAGGCGGAGGCTAAAAGATAAAAAAGCAATCCTCCGAGCTTCCCTCGGGCGGTCAGCTGGAAACGCAGAAGTCCACTTGGTCGAGCCTCCTGGGTGACAGCTCTCCGCAAGGAGGACCGGCTGAAGGGCTGTCCCTGGCTGTCACATCGCCGGCCGCGGCTGGAAGGCGTCGGGGAGAGAGGATCGGGCGTTGGATCCAGCCGATGTTTAAAATTGTTGTTTAAAAAAAAGAGGGCGGAAATCAACCAACTTATGTCATTCCAGGTAAAACTCCCGTCTGCGCCTGCAGCGCCACTGCCGCCGCCGCCGCCGCCGCTGGAAGAGGTGGGTGGGAGAGAGACCGCGCAGCTTCAGAGGGTGTAAACTTTTCTTTCCCCTCCCCTGGCGTCTCTTCTGAGCAGCCCAGTCTGCGCGTGTGTCCTTTCTTCTTCACCTTCCTTCTCCCGCTGCTGTTTTTTCCTCACTCC